TATACAGGATCTTAATGAGGGCGATTTCAGGGTTGACACAGAAAGTTCAGCTTTCTTCATCCTGTATGGAGTGAGAAAGCATCCCTGCCTATGTGCATAGAACTATTCTGGGCTTTCAAAAATGTACTGATCTGGTTTGACCCAACAAACTGACCCACTTCTCCTGCCCCGCTTCCTGCCCCTTCCTGGTCATCGCAAGAATGTTCTCAAAGCATGTGTCTCTTAAGAATCTTCTGGCAAGTTTGTGTTTCTGGTCTGCTCTGAGACCCGAAGCAGCTTGGATTTGGAATTTGCTTTCACAGTTTTTGGGAGGCGCTAAGCTCTGGTTATTTCTGAGTAACCCCAAGGAGCTCTCCATACTTGGGTAGGTTCCAACCCAGGTCATTCTCCTTCCCACCTCTCCACTTGCAGTTAGGCAGAGGTGGGCATGAGAGAGGATGGAATTCTGGGTAAATAGTTTGCTCACAGTCAGATGGTCGCCCCCACCCAACCTGATCCAGCCCTCCCTTCAGGCAAGGTCATTATCAGCAAACAGCCAGCTGCATTTCCCTCATGGGAATGCCAGAGACAGAGTTAATAAAAATCTATCTTATTAACAGCCTGACCTACCAGCATTGATCACATTAGAAATGACGCTGCACACACAGTCCCCATTATGTGCATGGCGCAAGGCTCAGCAGAGCTCAAAAAGCCATTTAAATCCCTCCAGGAGTGACTCCTCCAAGGGCCTGCAACATCCCCCAAACTAATAACTCCCGACAAAGCACCGCCAGGGAAAATTCCTTGCGGATTTGAGATTTTCACTCTGTTAATCTCCTAACTCAATAAAGTAAACACTCCCTGCAGCAAATTAAATACTTTTATTAAAGGGTCCCCTCCTTGATTCTCTTTGACATGGGTATTGCGGGACCCGTAACACTCTTGGAGCTTGAGTATCTGTGTGAGGGGCTGTCTCCTACTCCACATCATTTTCTCCTGTTACTCCAAGGAGGCCCAGAACCTTTTATGATTTGCTGATTCTTAGATTTCTCAAAATGTCTGAGATCTCTGGCTTCCCTGAGTGGATCCACTAGCCTGTCAACTGAGGAAACTGGTTTCTGGGTTTTTTTGTGGGAGTGACAGTCCTCAAATGGCTCTGACCCAAGCACCTCTAAACTTGCAGTTTGCCTGGAGAAGGACCCATCAAAACTGTCCAGGCCATGGTGGGCTTTTTGGCCAATGGTCAGACCCCTCTTCTGACTTCACTAGGGGCTATGGGCTTGCTGGTCATACCTTGGACAGTTATCTGGAAATCAGATGGGGTTAGCTATAAAGAGTAGAAGAGGGTAGAGCAGAAGTCAGGAAAGCTCCTCTCCTCCCACATTTTCCTGTCCCCAAACTGGCCTTCAAGCTACTCCTCTCTGGGACCTGTCTAGAATTGGGTTCAGCCACTTTAACTTCTAGTCATCGCTTTCTTTTCACTGCTGGTTGCAGCCATGTTATCCTGAGGTCCCGATGGCCTTTCTTCCCGGACCTCCTCAGATGCCATCTTCAGAATGTCTGCTTTGCAGGGAAACCCACCACTTTGCAGACGGTAACTGCTAGACCCTACCGCCAAACACTATAACATGGCTGGCATAGAACCTGCATCATCATCAGTCCTGCCATTCCCAGCCTCTCGGTCTATAGTCCAGCCACAGGAAACTTGTGCTGGTTCCTCATTTATTTTTATTTATTTTTTGAGACGGAGTTTCGCTCTTGTTACCCAGGCTGGAGTGCAATGGCGCGATCTCGGCTCACCGCAACCTCCGTCTCCTGGGTTCAGGCAATTCTCCTGCCTCAGCCTCCTGAGTAGCTGGGACTACAGGCACGCGCCACCATGCCCAGCTAATTTTTTGTAGTTTCAGTAGAGACGGGGTTTCACCATGTTGACCAGGATGGTCTTGATCTCTTGACCTCGTGATCCACCCGCCTTGGCCTCCCAATGTGCTGGGATTACAGGCTTGAGCCACCGCGCCCGGCCGGTTCCTCATTTATATTTTAGGAGAAGCCTCCTTTTAGAAACATCCTCATCTACAGTTTCTCAGTTCCATCACAGGGTCTGTAGTGCAGAGGGCTTTGTGGATCCACAAGCTAAGAGAATAGAGACAGAGACAATGTGTTTTGCCTTTGGTGACAGTCAGGTCTCTGGAGGCCATAAAGCTTTCTTGGCAAGGGCTCCATAGGTGTGTGTGATAGGCCCTCGTGGAGGGTCTGGTCCTAGCAACCATGGGTAGGGGTTCTGGATGTAGACCCTGTCCAGGGTGTGGAGAAGGCACCCTCTCCCTCCTGGGCCTCTGAGAAGGCCCTGCCCAGCTTTCCTCCTGTCTATTTGCCCATCCGGGGCAGGCGAGGCCCTCGTTCAGGGTAGGCAGTGGCTTCAGGCCCTGGCCCCTCAGAGGTGTTAAGACATAATAACCCAGGGTGGGTCCTGGTCATTTGAAATGTCCTCCTTCCCCGTCAATCTTGGATAGGCATCCTGGGCGCTGCAGCTATCCCCATGTATCTCTGACCCTAACAGAATTGCTTCCAGACCTATATCCTCCCCTAGAAGTCAAAATAGTCACTGGAAGTTAGAGACAGAAAGAGAAAGGGCTAAGAAAATGAGGAAGGGAAGACAAAGTCCATCAGCCCACAAGTGGGGAGTCAGACAGGCCTGGCCTGGAATCCAGATTCAGCCACCCACATGCTCTGACCCCTGGCAAGCTACTTGCTCCCCTTCACCTCAGTTTCCTCTCTATAAAACAGGGATAATGAAAATTCTGCCCACTCAGGGTCACTGTGCAACTTGCAGGGGGCAAGACTGTGGATCGATTAGCACAGTAAGCATTCAAAGAATGGGCTCATAGGAAAAGATTCAATGACTTCCACACAGGGACCGAGCCCAGCTGTGGGGCTGGGAATTCGGTCCTCCCTGAGGCCTACAGGGATTTATTTGCTAGTTCACCCAGTGGCCTTTCTTCCAGATACCCCTGCAGGGTACATGGAATGGGAAAAACCTGGGGGAGTCCAAACCTGAGCCTTCTGGCTCTGCACAGCAACTACCCAGGCTGGTTAGGGAAGGTGAGTGAGGGAAGAATCTAGGCCATGGTTGGGGCAGCTGTCAGGCTCAGGGTGTCATGGTGACCCCCATGCAGAGACAGACCTGGGCAAAGTTGAGTCCATGCACTCTCAATTTGGGCATAATTGGTTCTTGGGGGAGTGAAAATATTTTAGATACTACAATGATTTGTGGTACTCTACAGCTACACCAGACCTGACAACTTTTATTCCTTTATTTTTTGAGACAGTCTCACTCTGTTGCCCAGGTTGGAGTGCAACGGCACAATTATGGTTCACTGCAGCCTCAACTTTCCCTGGCTCAGGTGATCCTCCCACCTCAGCTTTTCGAGTAGCTGAGACTACAGGTGTGCGCCACCACACCTAGCTAATTTTTAAAAAAACTTTTTTGTAGAGACGAAGTTCTCCTATGTTGCCCAGGCTGGTCTTGAACTCCTGGGCTCAAGCAATCTGCCTGCCTTGGCCTCTCAAAGTGTTGGGATTACAGGTATGAGCCACTGTGCCTGGCCCTTATTCCTTATTTCTAATGAAAGAAATTAAATTTTAACTTAATAAAATTGATTTAAATAAAATTAAATTTTTTCTCTTGGGGGCAGAGTGGCATCATGTACAGAAGGTGGAGAAACAATGGCACAGTCTGTCTTCCTGTCCAAAGGTCCCTCCCGCTGCCTCTTACCACAGCCTTCCTTCCCCTTGGGCTCTTGGGAGCATTGGGCACTGCTGAACAATTCAATTCAGTCCCAGGCATTAGGGATATGAGCAGTGCCAACCACTCTTACCCTGCCCCTCCCTTGGCTCCTGTGACTTCTCTGTGTGGTTCCCCTCCAGCTTCTGCTCTCCCTATATATGGAGCACTCTCTGCTCCCCATGCTTTCCTCCATGGCTCCAACTCTGCAGCCCCAAACTCTGCCAGATCCCTTTTCTTTGGTGGCCCACTGGCCCTTACCATCTGGATTTTTCCCACTGTTCAGACTCAATGTGTCTGGCACACCTTCTCCTTCCTCCAGAAAGCCCTCACTGTCTACCCCAGCCTGCTTGGTACTTCCCTTCTACAGCATTTAGCTTGAACCACTTCATATTAAAGAACATCCTGGGTAACAAAGTGAGACTTCATCACTACAAAAAATAAAAATCATTAGTTGGATGCAGTGGTATGTTGGGGGCAGCTGTCAGGCTCAGGGTGTCATGGTGGCCCCCATGCAGAGACAGACCTAGGCAAAGTTGCTCCCCTTCACCTCAGTTTCCTATCCAAGTAGGTTGCCTGAAGTCCAAGCTACTTGGGAGGTTGAAGTGGGAGGACTGCTTGAGCCCAGGAGTTCGAGCCTGCGTGCAGTGAGCTATGATTATCCTACTGCACTGAAGCCTAGGCAACAGAATGAGACCCTGTTTCTGGCAAAACAGCAACAGTAACAACAACAAGAATGCAGCTGACCCCTGAACAACATGGGTTTTGAGCTGCATGGGTCTACTTACACACAGATGTTTTTCAACAAATGGTGTAAAAAATACAGTATTTATGGGCTGCAAAACCTGCATATATGGGCCAACTTTTCATATAGACAGTTCCACAGGGTCTACTGGGAAACTTGAATATGTATGGACTTTGCCATTAGCGGGGGCTCCTGGAACCAATGCCCTGTGGATACGGAGGGACAACGGTATATGCCCTTGTATTACTCTCAGAGTTTCATGGGTGACTATTCTATCTTCCCACTTGAACTTTAATTTTTTTGAGGATAAAGACAAAGTCATAAGGTTCTATTTGCTCCTTAATTTTGGACACTAAGGAAGGCAGGTGGGAGGGTCTTTGTGGACCAGGAAGCTCTCAAGGTACAAGGTACAGCTTCCCACTTAGGAAGGTCAGGCCAGCCCAGGCTGTGCAAGACTGAAGTGCCCGCCTCCCTTGGGGGGCCCCACCTCACCTGGCTGACTCCTTCCACTCCATCTGGTCTCCGTCATGCTGCAGAGTGTCCATCTCTGTGAAGAGGGTGGGGTTGGGAGCCTCATCTTCCTCCCCCAGGATGTCCTGGAGCTGCTCAGCAGCTGGGGACCCTGCAAAAGAAGGACAGCAGGGTCTGCTGAGTGTCCTGTGCAAGGCAGGAGGGCCACAAGGCCAACAGCAATGGAGTCGGAACCAAGCACAAGGGGAAAGTATTTTCTAAATCGGTAAAACTAAGTCCAGCTCCTGGGTGAAGCTGGACTCCTGTCACCATGAATCAGAGGTGGGTGAGATACTCTAAGATAAAAGAGATGAAAAGATTTAGTCTGCATTCAGATCCAGGGTCTTGTAGCTGGCAGTGAAGAATGATGCGAAATGGTCAAAGCCAGGGCAGCAGCAAGAACCAGGAAGAGAACTGAAGAGAGAAGTGAGGAGCACTCTGACCCAACTTCGGCTTACCACCAGAGGGGTTCTTCTTCCCACGGGGCCCCAAACCAGCCAACTCCCAACACTGGTCTTGAAGAGGCAGTCAGCCAGGCAAAAGGACAGCTTGCACCCTTGTACCATGTGGGCCCACTTTCTTCCTGGGAAATGTGGCAGTCCATTTCCTGAGCCCCCAGCCTGCTTTCCAACTTCCCATTGGAAGTTACCTCCTGGGTGTCTTCCAGGCACCTCAAAACTCAGCATCCCTCTCCCAAACACACTTCACCTGCGTTCTTTCTCTTTTTCTTCCTTCCTTTTCTTCATTTATCTCTCTCTTTCTCTCTTGAGTGAATGCCTACTATGTGCCAAGCATTATTCTAGGTATTGGAAAATAAAGCTATGAAAAAGACCTATGTGTCCTTGCTCTCAAGCATATGCTCTATGGACAAAAGACAAATAACAAACAAGTCAACAAATCCATAAATTACCATTTCAATAAGTTGTCTATAATAAACAAAATGACCAGGGGAGCTACAGTAGATAGCATGGTCACAAAAGGACTCTCTGAGGAGGGGACACTGGAGCTGTGACTTGAATATGAGAACGAGCCACTTCTGCAGATCTGGAGGAAGAGTGGTCTGCATGTTCTAGACAACCTGTGGTGGAAACGTGCTGGTGAGTGTGGTCCAGCACAGTGAGCAACGGACAGAGAGATGGCATGACATCAAAGTGGTAAGTAATGCTGTGACTGAAGGCATCCCTGCCCACCCCACTGCATAGGCTAGACACCCTGGAGTCATCCTTATCTCACCTCCTTTCCCTTCATCTTCACCCTCATTAAAATTTTTCAGGAACGCAGTCCTTCCTCATCAACCCCACTGCCCTGCCCTGATGCAATCTCTCATTCACTATCTCCTAGGCTTCATCAGGTCTTCTCTTCCTCCAGCCTGTTTCCTCAGTTCATCATTCCTGTCTGTCCTCACTTATTGCTTCATGGATCTCCACTCCTTTCTTCATCACATCCTCCATTATTTCCCCTTGACTTCCCAATCAAACCAGCCAGGAAATGCCCAGACAAGAATTCACTGGCCCAATCTCCTCTGCAGTTGCATCTGAGGCCTCGAGGGTCTGGGGTGGGGACAGCAGCACGGAGTGGTGGTGTGGTGGAATCAAATGGACTTCCAATCCAGCTAGAAAAGGGTGTGACTCTCGAAGCTGCCACTTATTCATGAGTGAACTCAGCTGAGTGAGCAGGATTGCGGGGAGGAATACATCAGGTAAGAGAACGAAATGCCTGAATGAAATGCCAATCAAATCAACAGGGCTTGGAAGGTAACAGGTGCTTAACCCTCACACCAACACCCACACCCAGGCCCATGAGCTGCACTGTAAGGGTTTCCCTTCAGCAGGTCCCAAGTGTAGCAACCTTCCATGCATCCTTGTCAGCACCCTTCCTATGTCCCTCAAGGCTGTCCCTAACCTTTGCTCCTCTCTTGAAGCTTCTTGATTCATCTCCTACCCCACTTCACCAAGAAAGTAAAGGCCTCCAGGCACAAAATTCATCAACATCCTTTCTTCCAGCCCCTTGACTCTTTCAGATCCTTATTTCATCAACTAGTCTTTCTTCACCAGGATCTTCAACTTCCCTCTCTCCACCCTCTTTCTCTCAGCCTAGAAACAGCTCTTCCTACCCAAGACACCCTCCCTGACCCTGTCTGCCTCCTTAGTTCTCCGCTTGCCTTCTCCTTTCTTTTACCCACCCTTGCTAAAGTAGTGATCTATGCTCATGGTCTCCATTTCCTTGTTGCCCAATCACTTCCTGGCCTGTTGCCACTGGCTCAGCCCCCATGACGTTAAGGACATTGACAAAGGCAGAGATTTCAAACTGGCAGTTCAGAGATGTGTTTATTTTATTTTTATTTGAGACAGAGTCTTGCTCTGTCGCCAGGTGCCAGGCTGGAGTGCAGTGGCACAACCTTGGCTCACTGCAATCTCCGCCTCCTGGGTTCAAGCAATTCTCCCACCTCAGCCTCCCGAGTAGCTGGGACTACAGGCACAGGCCACCACGCCCCGCTAATTTTTGTATTTTTTAGTAAAGATGGGGTTTCACCATGTTGGCTAGGATGGTCATGGTCTTGATCTCTTGACCTTGTGATCCGCCCACCTCAGCCTCCCAAAGTGCTGGGATTACAGGCGTGAGCCACCGCGCCCAAAGATGTGTTTAATTCAGACCTCACAGGGTATGAAGGTTTTTGAAAGTATTGCTAAGATAAAGAATTGTAAGATTTCATACAAAAATCCAGATCTCTGACTTTTCTTGAAAATTCAGATTTTCTGATCACTGTGCCCATGTTCCTGCTTGGCAACAATCAACGAGAGTTGATGATGGTTCCTTCTTAGGTAAACATGCTTTTTAGTTTGTCACAGTCCCCTATACTTCTTAATACTGCCCCATTAATCTCATTTATTGCCATGCACCTAAGTTCACAATTCCTGCCCTCAGATCCCTCTTGTTATCTTATTGTCAAACTAATAAGCTAATAAAATCAATCAAATCAACAGTACTGAAAAGCTATAGTCTGGCTTATCTCTCTGGAACTTCAGAGGTGATGGTTGCCCCCTCTGAACTGAAATGTGACTTGTGGCTCTTATAACATGGCAGCTTATTGATATTTTCTTTTTCTTTGAAGATTCTCTCTCAATATCCTTCCCTAGTTCCTCTTGCCTCGCCAACACTTAAATCTTGATCTTCCCCAGGATTCCTGCTTCATCTTGTTTTCTCCTCTCTTTCCTCACTCTTTCTGGACTAGCTCATGTTCTTTGTGGTGTCATCCTTTAAATGAGGTCACCCTTGTGTCCAGGCAATACACCCATGTGCATTGAACATTCCAACCAACAACTGGACTGCTCCTTCTGGGAGCTTAGCAGTCTTCTCAAGTCACCCTCAACATATTCAAAATAGCTCCGTATCTCTTCTTCCACCAACCCAGCCCTGCTCTCCTTTGATTAATAGCACCTCTAGCTACCTACCCATCTGGACGATGCTGGACTCATTCCTGAAGCTCCTTCTTTCTTACCATCCATGCCCAACTGGACACTAACATCTTTCATTTGCTTCCTAAACATTTTTTAGCTCGCCCCTTTTTTTCCCACCCATCTTGGTTCTGGCTCTCATCATCTGCTTCTAACACTGCAATAGCCACCTACTGCTGCTATTACCTTTGGTTGTCCCAATTAACCCCATTTCCTATGCAGCGGTAGAGTTTGCTTTTAAAACATTTCAAACATGTTCATGTGATGGGCTCCTGGGAGTCATGTGCTCTTTGAATACTAGCACCATAAAATATTGTACACATAAGTTAGAAATCATTTTACTAGCAGAACACATTTTTAATTTATCTGTACCAAGATCAGATTAAATGAATTCATTTATTTACATGAATTTTTAATTTCTAAATTTTTCTATTACTTTTTTTTTTTAGACAGAGTCTCACTCTTTTGTTTAGGCTGGAGTGCAGTGGCACAATCCTGGCTCACTACAACCTCTACCACCTGGGTTCAAGTGATCCTCCCACTTCAGCCTCTGGAGTAGCTGGGAATACTAGCTCATGTCTCCACGCCTGGCTAATTTTGTATTTTCTGTAAAGTCGAGGTTTTACCAAGTTGCCCAGGCTGATCTCAAACTCCTAAGCTCAAGAAATCCACTGGCCTTGGCCTCCTAAATGCCAGGATTAAACGTATGAGACACTGGGCCCAGCCTACTGCTTTTAACCTACATCCTTTCCATTGTCTTACTGATTGCTGGCACTTGCTAGCAGACACCAAGTATTTAAATAAATTTTATAGAAGAAAAACCAACAACTGAGAAAATAACCTTATTTTTTCTTCAAATAGAGAAAACTGGAACTGCTTGATTCTGAGGGGCCACACCAATTCTCCCTGGGATCAGAAATCAGTAACTACTCTTTTAAAATGTAGTTTTGATGCATCTTGGAGGATAAAAAAGAAAAGAAAATGTAGATTTGATTATGTTATTCACCAGTTGAAAAACTTTCAATGTCTCTCTATTGCTTAAGCCTAGAGGTGAGTGACATGGCTCAAACCATCCCTTGTAATCTAGCCCTAACCTGCCTTTCTAGGTTCTAGCATGTCCCTCACACAGCCACCCCAACCCCAGCCACAGTAGACCACATACAGCTCTCTGAGGAGGAGGGCATGCCACTTCCTGGGCCCTTGTGCCTGCCATTCCATAAGTCTGGAATCCCCTTTCCCCTTCAAGGCCAGGCAAGAAGGCAAATAAATGGACGGGTCCTGGAGAGAGGAGACAGGCAAAGAGCAGGATATGAACCAGCTCTGCCTGGGGCATTACCTGCTCCCTGGAATAGCTGAGTGCTGGGGTCCCCGGCTGTCGGCGCTGCCTCTGGCCCCAGCCTGCTTCCACTGCCACCTCCCTGGCTGCTCCTTCCACAGGTCCTCTTCTTCACACAACAAACTCACTTTTGTTTCCAGTTAAGCACCAGGGGAGCGTAGGGAGAGAAGAAGGGGGGTTTGGGGGAGAAAAAGAGAGAGAGAAAAGGAATGTGTGGAGGTGGAGAGAGCAGCTATATGTAGAGAGAATATAGACATAGTACGTGTAAGTGTGAGAGATATTATACAAAATTGTTTGAGAGAGAAAAACTATACTGAGAGTTAATTAAAGAGTCCAGAGAGAGAGAGAGAGAAGTGAGAGAGTGAGAGAGAAATCTCAGGTGCACTGGAGAGAAAAAGGCTCAGTGGCTGCAGAGCAGCAGAGGCTCAAGCAGGAAGCTGGGTCTCCACAGCAGCAGGGGTGGTGGCAGCTGAGGACCTGTGAGAGGACTGGCAAAACTGCCCCTTTACCCCCTTCCCCATGATTGTTTCCCATGTGCCTGGGGGCTCTAGGAGAGTCCAGGCTTCTCTCTGCAGGCCCCTTTACAAAGGCAGGGGTAGGTTTTGCCGTGAAACTCCCTAGGGCCTCCTTACTAGCCTTGGCGGCAGGTGAGCTGACTAGAAAGAAACCTGGCAGGGCCCTTCATCTCCACCACACAGCCCTGCATGCCCCTTATGAGTTGGGTGGAGGAACTTCATTTCAGCAGGCCCCTTCCACGACTGCAGGGCAGAGCCTCTCACTATTATCCGGGGCTGCCTGGCCCCACCCCCTGCTAAATTGTCTCTATGCTTCCACCATACAGAGACAGGGAGAAGGGTGGAGTGGGGTTGCTGGAGGGGAGTGTTTGCCATGGGGTCTCACATTGACCAAGCAGTGCTTCAATAATGCTATGTAGCTGGTTTCACTCCTCCCCAACTTTAAACCCAAACTCCTGATCCTCTTCCTGTTCCTCCACCTCTAAGGCAAAGTGCCCAGTGTTACCACTCGACAGGTGTTTTCTGAGAGCCCACAGACAGTGGGAGCTGGTCACTTCAGGGTATGTGGTGAAATCCACTAGGGAATTATTTTGTTCTTCTGAGAAACTCCTAATCTCCTGGGTTTGGTTCAACAAGTGCTTACCGAGTACTTACAATGTGCCAAGGTTGATTAGAGGTCACTGAGTGGCAGCTGCTCCAGGGAGTTACAAACCCTGAATTCACTAAGTCTTAGAGCTGGGAGGGAGCTTAGTGATAGTCAAGTCCAAACCCTTCATTTCACGGATGAGAAAACCAAGACCCATGTTACCCCACAGAAGGCTCCCTAGGCCCCAACACAGGTTAGCAGAGCCTAGGGGAGAGCGGACATCTGACATCCTCCCCCTACACTGCGTCACTGTGGCTGGCTCCACTGGTGACATTTTCAGACCTGAGGCTTGAAGATCAACTATGCCCATTTTATTTTATTTTATTTTTTAAATTTAAAAAAATTTTTTGAGATGGAGTCCTGCTCCTATGCCCAGGCTGGAGGGCAGTGGCATGATCTTGGCTCACTGCAACCTCCACCTCCCGGGTTCAAGCAATTCCCTGCCTCAGCCTCCTGAGTAGCTGGGATTACAGGCACCCACCACCACCACGCTTGGCTAATTTTTGTATTTTTAGTAGAGATGGGGTTTCACCATCTTGGCCAGCCTGGTCTTGAACTCCTGACCTCGTGATCCACCCACCTCGGCCTCCCAAAGTGCTGGGATTTCAGGCAGGAGCCACCATGCCTAGCATTTTTTTTATTTTTAGAGACAGGGTCTCGCTGTATTTCGTAAGGCTGGTTTCTAACTCCTATGCTCAAACAATCCTCCCGCCTAAGCCTCCCATAGTGTTGGGATTACAGGTGTGAGCCACCACACCTGGCCACAAATATACCCATTTTAAAGCTGAGAAAACAGAAGCAGAGGACGCTAGGCCCTGCCTGAGGATCCCAGGTTCTGCAGCTTGCACTGCACTATGGCTGAGGTTGATCCAGTTCCTTCTGAGTGGCCACGGCAGGCCACACCAAGTCAGGCCTTGTGGGTGGCCTCAACACCCCAAAAAAGATGGCCAAGGATGCCAAAAAAGATCCTCTTTATTCATGTGGTGCTTTAACAGCCCAGACCTTGGCTCAACTCTGAACTCTGCCATTACCAGCAGTAGGACCCTGGCAAGGCATCAAACTCCCATTGAGCCTTAGTTTCCTCGTATATGAAGTGGGACTAATCATGCCCACCTCACTGGACTGTGGCAGGGATTCAATAAGATAATATATGTAATGTGACTGGCTGGAATAGCACTCATGTACACCAATCACTCAATAGGTAATATTGCTATTATTGCTGATGCCAGCAGGTGAGACGCCTCCTCCGTTACTACCAGTCACCAGTCCATTCCCTCTAAACATTCCAAGGGCCGAATCCTTCTCAGCTTCTAGACTCTATGCTCCTCCCATGCCACCCCTGCCCCTCCATCCCAGGCCCCTACGCTGTCTCTGCCCCTCCCTCCTGCCCACAGAATGTTTAGCTCACCACATGCTGGGCTACTGGGTCAGGGTTTCTCTAATGCCCTGCAGATCCCAGATGCGTGCAGCACGTCAGAAGTTAATCCACATAATAAGAAATGCCACAGGTAATAGCCCCTCTGTTTTATAGCTAACAGCAAGAGTCACATAGCGGCAGCCCAACTATAGGAATGGATTCTAACAGCAGTTGCTGGGAGAAATATAACATTGCAGGGACCACTTAAGGAGGCACATTGAAGCCACACATAGAATCATGCTTTTACTGGGTGGGGACTGACTTAGCACAAAATGATCTAATGGTCTGCAAACTAGCAAGCAGTGTGGACTTCAACTCTTAGTAAAGATCCAGGAGCCATTATGGCCATCTGGAAGTCAACATCAGGACATGATCCTGGGGTCCTCAGCTCTGGGCAAGTCCTTTCGGACATTCCCTCTCTCATTGATGGATGGCTGGATGATCAGCTTTGTGAAGCTTGTTCACATCGCACTGCTGGCCCCTGACATGGGTTCATGCAGCATGCACACTCAATGCATATTTGCTGGGTGAATGAATTTGACTGCCTGACACTCAGGAGTGTTATTCGCTGAGACTGGCCTCAGCAAGAGAGGAGCCAAGAACAACGAAATGAAGCTGGGGATGAAGCAGAGTGGGTATAGATGGGGGGATTCAGGCAACTCAAGGCCACTGAGTATTGGGGAGTGGGAGAGAGAACCTAAGGGAGCCAAAGCCATTCTTGCCAACTGTGTGAAGTGGGTCTTGGAGGCCCTGCGTCCTAGTTTCATGGACGATAATATTCTTTTTTTAGAAGGCTGTATACAAACTCCAAGTGTGTCCTCCAGGAGAGGAAGAGGAGAGAATCTGCTGACTTGCTGTGTTCACAGAAATCCCTCCTGGGGTGGGTGGCTTTGGGATGTCTGCCCAGCCCAGGTCCTCCACTCCCATAAGGATGACTTTGGGCAGCTGTGTTTGTGTAACATGTGACCTGTGCTCCTGGCCACAATGAGTTGGAACAAGAATGGTTCATTGGATGCCTGACCCAAGCCTGTGAATTTTGAATTGGGTCTCTTAGTTGGACCTTTCCTGATGGTTTCTGGGAGTCAGAGCTGGTAAATGGAAGAGGCAGAAAGGGCTGGGCTGCCAAGAGAGGAAGCATCCTAGAGGCGAAGCTGTGGGAAAGGGCTGTGCACACCCAGGGAGCGGACTGAGAGTGTGCTGTATCTACCCACTTGAGCTGGGCTCTTCATTTTGCTTTGGGACTGTGAGAAACTCCTTTGGTCTTGTAATATAAACAATCCCCCCCATGCTCTCTCTCCTTCCCCAAGCCAACTCAAATAGGTTTCTGGCATGTGATAAAATTACCTTCTTAATCATGAGTCCCCTTTGTATGAAATTCCAGAGTGTAGAGATTTTCTTCTGAGTACCTTCTTGAAAACCATAAGTGTAAAAGTAATAAAAGAATGTTGAGTCACTGTCCTAAGAATACTTAGATTAAGTCTACTTGTGTGAAAAGTAAAATGGGGGAGTAAACAACGGCAGGGCAGGCCCAAAGAAAGAAAGGGCAAGGAAATATGCTGTGGCCTTGGATAAGGGAGGAAGCTAAGCTGGGTAAGAGGGGCTGGCACAGTCTGGCACATACATGGCAGGTCCCCTGAAAGCGCTTATGGATGCAGACAAAGCTGGAGAAGGTCTAAGTGTGTTGGGGGCTGGGGAAGACTCAGTCAAGGCTAGCTGCAAAATTCAGATAAGAGATCCCTCAGTCTTTTCCCTCTAAGTTCCCCATGCCACTCTGCACCCCCAGGTCTGGGAAGGGCAACAACCTCAGAGTGAAATCAGAAAGGCCTTGAGCATTTATAAGACCCAACATCAAAAAGAGAACAATGATATCTATCTCACTGGAGCTCCAGGGGAGTCAAATGTTTCTGGAGAGCCCAAAGGGCAAAAGGCAATTATTACTCATGATTTAAGATTTTAAAATGTCACCAAGAGTCTTCAATTCACATGTTGTCCTTATTGTTCTGTTTTAGTAGATATAAATGCAATATAATGAAGAAGTTGTCATTTTTCCTTCCAAGCCAAGAGGGAGATGGAGCCTAATTACATCAGTAGGAAGTTGAATCTTGATCCTGCTTCTTTCATCTGACAGAGGCCAGTAGGGAGGGAGAAAGGAGAGAAGAAAATTTCAAGCCCTCTTTCAGTTTTTTTTTTTTTTTTTTTTTTTTTGAGACAGAGTCTTGCTCTGCTGCCCATCTGGAGTGCTGTGGCACGATTTCAGCTCACTGCAACCTCCACCTCGGGTTCAAGCGATTCTCGTGCCTCAGTCTCCTGAGTAGCTGGGATTACAGGTGTGCGCCACCACACCCGGCTAATTTTTGTATTTTTAATAGAAACTGGGTTTTGCAATGTTGGCCAGACTGGTCTAAAACTCCTGGCTTCAAGTGATCCGCCCGCCTTGGCCTCCAAAGTGCTGGGATTACAGGAGTGAGCCACCATGCCTGGCCCTCTTTCAGTTCTTTTATACTGCAAAAGGGCTAGACTGAGAGATGGTCTCTGTGTTTATTTCAACACATTATGTGTCTAGTTGTGTGAAAATGGGCCCTGAGCTAAGGCGAGTGAGAACGAGGTAAATCATGGGATAGGTAAAGTGAGTGGAGTGAGTGCGTGTGTGTTGGAGAAGGGGTGTTGAGGAGAAGGGGCTCAGAAACTGAGAAGCAAGGAGATGTGAGGAGACTCAGGAGGGCAGTGACGGGGGGATGGGGGTTGCCAAAAATATGGTAGAAAGCTGAAACTGCAGAGGAAGGTGTTCAAAGGGAAATCTTCAGTGGCCAGAGGATTTTTAAGAACAGAGATATCTAATATCTCATTTTAATTTTATTTAATTTTCTAATATTGCATTTTAAAAATGGAATATCTTGGCTGGGTGCGGTGGCTCATGCCTGTAATTCCAGCAGTTTGGAAGCTGAGGTGGGTGGATCATTTGAGGTCAGGAGTCCAAGACCAGCCTGGCCAACACGGTGAAACCCCACCTCTACTAAAAATACAAAAATTAGCTGGGGGTGGTGATGGGAGCCTGTAGTCCCAGCTACTCACGAGGCTGAGGCAAGAGAATCACTTGAACCCAGGAGTGGAGGTTTCAGTGAGCACAGATTACACCACTACATTCCAGCCTGGGCAACAGAGGGAGACTCCTTCTCAAAAAAAAAAAAAAAAAATTGAGTATCTCTACAAACTAAACCCACTCCATGATTCTGAACCTTCGACAAAGCCTGCTGCTCACATATATGCCTTAAATGACCAATTTTGAGGAAACCACAGAAGGGCAGAATTCCATGCCTGGGCTGTCCTGGAGGTGAAAGCAGAGAACAGATACTGAAGGTGAAGCACAGTGAGACCGAGTCCACCAGGCAGGGACCTGGAACCAGAGCAACACAGACACTAGAAGCCTCTGGAAATTCAGACATTTAAGCAAAGGCGTGGGCCTCCTCTAGAATGTGGCGAGGAGGCTGGAGTCTATTTTAATTAACTGTTATGGAATAAGGTTATAAAAACTTTGTATTGGGATTTTCATTGGTTTACTTGCAAATTCAGGCTCTCAATCCATTTCCCCTTAAGGTCTTAAGGTTGCTAACTCAAGAGCCTCTCCTGATAGGGCTTTTTGTTTCTGCTTTGTTTTTGTTTTTTAGAAGAACAGCCCTCATGGCTAGGGAGGGAATGCAGTATATGTTGATAATTCTGGGAGATCTTGGTTTTAAGGTGTTAAGGACAAGAAGAGAGAGGGATAATATATACAGGCTTCCTTGGGGGTAATTTTAATTTGTCTTCATCCCCGAGCCCTGAGGTTGTGGGGGAGCATAAAAGGTCTAGA